ATCTACACCCTACCTGTAACCTATTGGACACAGTGTGTATACACTCTCTATCTATAACAGGGAGGGGGCTAGATCTACACCCTACCTGTAACCTATCTGATGCAGTGTGTATACACTCTCTAACGACAGGCAAAACATCCCAGGTCGCATGACAGAAAAAATATACAATTTCATCACATCGTTGTACAGGTAAAAAATACAAATTGCTCACTAAGCCATAGCTTGACAAAGGTACCAAGCTGTCTTGAAACATTGCAACAACACTTTTAATACATATTTTTTGTGTAGAAAGTTTGCATAGGCCTGCTAAACGGATGCTTCAGCTACTGTGGCTGAGTGGTAACATCTGACCATGTACGATCACTAGCCCTCCACCACTGGGACACGGGTTCGAGGCCTAAGTGAGGCAGTGGCCAGCTACCGGCCACTGGTCATTACAGAATTTTTTTCTCTGGGTACTCGGACTTTCCACCACCAAAAACTTGGCATGTCCTTAGATGAACATAGCCGTTATATATATAATTATTAGGACATAAAACAAAATCATATGGATGCTAATGGAACCAATTTTCATTCTGATTTTAGTCTTCTTAATTGACAAAAACAGAAAACAGCTGTCAAAATAACAGTATTTTATAGGGTGCACATATAGCATCCTATTAATGTATGCAGCAACATAACACTAATAGCAAAATTTAACACATTCACCCCTGAAATTTCATATTGAACTATTCCAACCTTTGAATTGGAACAGTTCAAATGTGTCTTCAGGGGTGAATGAGTTAAGGAACATAAAATTGCATACATGGGATGACTTTGGAAAACAATGTGGGGAGACATGTGCTTTGAAGTAGGGACTGTATGCACATTAACGGCAAAACGTTGTTTCACTATTAATTATCAATTTTTACCATATCATATTTAGGGAAAAGAACATGTATGCTTTCAAATCCTCTATTAAACAATCCAAAACTCAGCATAGAAATGGTGGGGTTTTGCAATAAATTAGATATGAAAGAGATATCATCAAAAGGAATATTAGTATTTTTAACTGTTCCCATTTTGTAAAGTAAGGCAGCTCGAGATAACTCTGGAGAGTAAACGTCGGTCTACTGCAACCACGTAAATTACCACCGTGCGTATAATAGTTTTGACCTTCAAATCGCGTAATTTTCACCCAGCGTAAATAACCATGTTTACAGTACCACTACTAAAGTATTATCCAAAACATTTGACCGTTGTTCTGCTCACATTCACTGACTCTCTGCACTCCTGGAATATATCAAAGCGAAAATGCAGGCATGTGGCTAGCTATTTGATTGGTCTCAGGTAAAAAAAACTGACCAATCGCTATACCTGTCTTTTCAAGATTACAGAGGAGTGACACCCGACTTAAAAAGTCAGTCAATTTTACTGTTACACCTGACCGGCAAATTCTTCTGATGTATATCAAAGGATCAAACTAATCTTCTCGTCTCATCCACAAGGTGGTGCACGCTGAGCCTTCACTATGACATATTCCGGACCAGGGGTGCAGAGAGCAAATGAACATATAACTCTTGGCGTATCGAGGATGGAAGAACAGCCTGAGGAGTTAGACCACACAATACTGTTAACAGGCGTTGATGAGTTGTGGCATATGAAATTGTATCAACATTTTTCAACTTTCCCATGCGTCTTTTTACTATACTTTTAAATATTAAGTATAAAAAACGTTTCTGTATGTTTTTGTTTAGTGTAAATTTACTCGTTTTAGCTCATTTACTTTAAAATACTAGCAGATTTTAACTTGTTATTTTCTTTCACTATCCAAAAAAAAGTGATGTAAATGGGCGATGTGAATAAGCTTGCAGTATGCGCGCAGTGATGCATAAAACTATCAGGGCACAGAAACAGGTCCTCCAACGATACTGCCGGGTATTAATATTAGTACTAACCCGCACACTCTCACCCTACCCATGCGTGCTTTGGTGACTACTTACAGATTGTAAAATATCCGGTGATCTTGAACTAGTATTAGTGGACACTGCCTCCATCATCAGATACAGCGACACACTAGCGACGATGAAAAACATCCCTCCCCATATCGCGACGTATTTCTTCATTTTTGATTGCTATGACGAATATTTACGCATTGACATGCGATACAATTTGTATTTTACACATAAGATTTGCAAACAGTGATTTGCAGTAACACAATAAGTCTGTTTGGGTTGCAGTTTAAACTTCACCGATAATTTCACCGATAGGATAGTTCATCGTGTGTTTGTTAGCCGAGTTGGCAGACAGAAACAGAACTGTCCATGTGTATGTGTGTACAGTAATCGATGACGTTTTACACTGCTGGGTTGTAATTAACACAAGCATTTCGTTTACGAACCAGAAAGTTCGTTCCTTGAAAAATACCGCTTTAGTCGCAAATATGAATTTAGTAAAACAATCAATGTATGTTAGAAAATGTTTTATTTTAATAACTATAATTGTCTTAAACTATTAATAATAACTCAATTATATTCATATTCAAGTTACTGAGAGACTGGCAATATTAGAGCGGGAACCGGCGGCAGTTATTTGGAGTTGAAGATAATTATAAACATCAATTAAACTGTACTTGGGGATAGGTAATACACGACTGTTTGTACAGCCATTGACGTATCTGAACTGTTCGATTCAATTTACAGACCTTTGATGGATATTTTATGAGAAATAAAATATGTATTAGTACCACGGACTTAGATTCTAATCTAATTCCGTGTTAGTTTAGTTTAAACATATTTTATTGCCAAGCAAATGGATTGGGCACAAGTTATCAAACTTATATTAAGCCCTTTCCTAGCAAATTACAAGCATATATTTACAATAGTACAACAAGATGGCATAATTAATATACATATATACACTATTTCATTTTTAAGTGCTTTAATTTATAAATTGAAATTATAAGAGAGTGACGGAGAGAGAAAATGGGGAGGGGGAAGAGAGAGGTGGGGATAATAGTCTGTAATTATAATACATACATCCTCATCATA